GCTGAGCTGAAGTCAGACACTTAACTGACTGTGGCTCTTCTCTGACTGCTTTGAATGGAAAGCCATTCTTTCAAATAAAAAATATATATATTTTTAAATTTATATGCGTATATACTTTATATATATCCTATTAATGATAATCTCAGAAATAACAAGTTGGGGGAGCAAAGGAAGTCCTTAAATTGGCAATTTTGACATGTAATTCTATATAGTGCTTTAACTTTGCTAGATCTAAATGTTACATTATTTGAATATTACCCAATGCTGTTCACTGATATTTTCTAATATTTGATTATTTACTACAAGCTGTCATTGTTGTAAATTTGCTAAATTTAGTATATCTTATTCGTTGAACCAATATTGTTAGATATCCATAGAATGAGAAAAGAGTATGAAAAGTGTGGGAATTCTTTTAAGACTAATTTTGGAAGTTCCAAGAATTCCCAGGAATTCCAACTTCCATTTATAAACACCAAAGATTAATATCCATTGGGAAACACTAATGTGACATGTTTGCCAAGCTGGAGACTACAATTTCCAGCCTCCCTTGCAGCTAGGCATAGCAATATTCTAGGCTTCAGCCAATAAGATGTAAGCTCAAATGAAGCCTGAACCTTCTGGATTATGTTTTTATGAGGAAGCTGTTTGTCCTTCCCTCTCCTTTTCCCTTTTCTCTCTGGTTTGGAAGGGATGAAAACTGAAGGAGCCACTTGGGATCAAGATAAGGAGACCATGTATTAAAGGAAGCATTCCACCTGCCCATTCCCTGGATTTCTTACAGAGCAGAACTGCCCACCTGCCCTAGCATTAGACCATTACATGAGCGATAAATAAATTCTCTTTTATTTTAGCCTCTGTATTTTGGGGTCTCTCTTTTTTATTACAGCAGCTTAGCCTATATGAACACACGTAGGAACATGTTTATGCTATAATGTTACTTGAGAAAGCATTGTACACGATTACATTTTACATTACATTGTATATTACATTATCCATAGTTATGTATATGTGCAATCTAATCTCAGTCACTAAAAACATACAGGGGTGCCTGGGTGGCTCAGTCAGTTAAATGTATGACTTTGGCTCAGGTCATGATCCCACGGTTCATGGGTTCAAGCCCCGCGTTGGGCTCTGTGCTGACAGCTCAGAGCCTGGAGCCTGCTTCCAAGTCTGTGTCTCCCTCTCTCTCTGCCCTTCCTCTACTCATGCTCTGCCTGTCTCTCTCTCAAATGTAAATAAACATTTTTTAAAAATTGAAAAAAAACCTTAAAACATACAAAGAAAATGCCCAGGAGAAATCATGTCAAAAGCCTGGCAGCAAAAGGAATTGGAGAAGCCAAGCCTCACCTTATTGAGGACTATTTATGTCTGGGAACAAAAGCTAATAAAGAACAAGAAAGACTTATTCCCTGTTTTATGGAGTTGGCAATGAAACTGGAAAGGAAGATGTTTGCAAGCAATTACCAGTATGAAGGATATGAAGAATTTATTCCCTCCTTTCGATGAGTCTTTTTTAAGATATTGGAATATTGGTGAGATGTAGGATTTTGGATAATCTCAACCTCCTTCAAGGACTGGTCATTTCTGCCATGCCTCCTAGATGCTGATGGGTTCCCCAGGAGGTGGTCCGCCCCCTTCAGTGATCGTCCAAGGCTAACAATGGGCAGAACTCCAAAAGCTTCCATTTCACATTCTTGCCTCTGCCTTCAAAAACCTTAATCCAGCTTCCCAAGCCCTGGGCTAAAGAAAACTGGAAAACCTCCAGCCCCATTATGCTCTCTGTGTCGAGGGAGCCCTTACCTGAGAACACACGGTTGGCTGTTGGGTTGCCATCTTGGGAAAACTAAGAGCTTCGATGTGGTTTTCATCTGGGGGGAGAGCTAAGAAAGCTGCACAAACACATGAGTGGAAAGTTGGCACCCGTCTCATACAGTAGCTTTAATTTTTGTAGCCTTAAAAAAAGTGAGAAACTCTAGTATTCTGTTTAGCAGAAGTCATTAAATATCCTGTAAGAGCCTGTTCAAGTCAGTGAGAGGCAGTAAGTTTGCTATTAAGTAATACTCGGTATTTACTAAAGACTTTATCTGTCTATCTGTCCGTCTGCCTACCTGGCTAACATGCCCAGCTCTGTCAGCCACTGCAGGGCAGTTCTGTCCACATACCTGTCAGATTCCGTTCTTCACCAGAAGCTTCATTAGGAAATAGAGCCTGAACAGTTGGCGAGGCACTTCACACAGCTGAAAATAATGAAGGGGAAGTCAATGCAATTAACTAAGCCCTTAACAGTAGGATTTGAATCGTGAAGGATCTGATTATGTGCCCCAGGCACCCACATATTGTATTTGCCACATCATCAGGCAGCAATAAAGAACATCTCAGAGCTGTGCATCTCACAGGACAGGAGTGAGACCGGAGTTAACCTTAGTGAATCCCTTTCCTTCTTCCTCTCTGTAAAGAAGGCTGAATCTCACAAGGCCGGGACTGTAGTTATCATCTACCCACTAACCACTCTTCCCTTCTTCTTTGCTAACAGAAGCAGTATTTTACTCAGATGGACAATGTGCCCAGATAAAAAAAAGAACATATTTCCTAGTCTCCTTTGCAATTATAAGTGGACAACGAAATATCAGTGGAAGTCAGTTGAGGCTTCTGAGAAGGCTGTCCTTCTCTCCTTTCTCCTTCTTCAACCTGAAACGTGGATGTGATAGCTGGAGTTCCAGCAGCCAAAATGTTACCATGAGGTGATCTTATGAGTGGAATTCATGAACTTAAGATGGAAGAAGGGAAAGATTGAAGGATGTTGAGTCCCTGGTGATTATGAAGCTGCCACACTCCCATGGGATAATCGGCCTCTACACTTTACATTACATGATAGAAAAACCTTGTATTTATATCACAACTGTTAATCCATGTGTCAGCAAGTCTAATTTTAACAGGTGGAACTTACACTCAATTTCTACCTTTTCCACACATATTTCCAAGAGCCCTAGAAAAATTCAATCATGGACTGAAGTGGTCATTCATCAACAGACATTTGCTCAACGCCTACATCTTGGGTCCACACTGGGGAATGGAACAGTGAGGAGGCGTGGTGTCTGACCCTGTCACACACTTTCCCATTTCCCTATTAGAATGAGTGGCTCTGTTCCACTGAGCTTTGAATCTCTGCTAGAGAGCTGCGTTGCAACAGAGGAATTATTTAAGCTGCGAGAAGGCCTAGAGTCTCTCTTGTTCTTAATATCACCAAGAGTCCCTATGCCTCTCCATCGGTATCTCTGGGCAGGGCTATGTGAAAGCTGAGGTTTCCACCCAGACTAGCCTGTTTAAGCATCTGCCCATGTCCGAAAATCATCATACGAAGAGTTACCCACTTTGGACTCAAGGTTCACTCATGATGCCTGGTCTCTTTTCTAGCCACATGCTTTGAAGCTCAGGCTCCCATTCCATCCCCAACACTGTCTTCGGATATGATGCAGAGGAAGATGGAACTTTCTCTCCGTTCCGACTCTGCCTCTCCATCCTGGCCTTGCTTCAGGCATCGCCGCATTGGGACGAGTCACCCTGAGGTGATGAGCATGCTTTGCATCCTCCAGGATACATTCGGGGTGAGGAACCCGTGGACTCTGCCAGGCAGTGGCCCATTCTGTCAATTCTCCCAGAGTGGGGTCATCTCTGAAGATCAAGGTTTTCATCAGAGAGGGGCCAGTGGGCCTCCCGTGGTACATCCCTGGGGGTCATTTTTAGCAAAGGAACTGTGAGCCGGATGCACCATGTCTCTCTTCAGCCTTCTTGACCTCACCCAAGTGCCAGCTCCCAAGCCAGTCATGACTGAGGCAGGCCATCTGGAAGGTCCTTTACTCTGGCCAGCTGGTGAGGGGGGCGCCAGTCCTGCTGTCCAGGCTCACGTCATGCAGAAGAGCAGCATGGTTTGAGTACCAGCTCCATCCCTTCCCACCTCTGGGACTCTGGACAAATCACCTAACCACAGTTTTCTTGCCTGCAAAATGGGGATAATATATAGACCTTACTGAGTTATTATAAGGATTAAAGGAGTAAGTGTGCAATAGCCCTCAGCCCTGTTCCTAAAGCATCGTGAGCTCCCAATGAATGTTAACTGTCACCGTCAGTATTATTAACATCTGGCATCACCTGTCGTTTTAACTCTTTTGTAACTTGGTGAACATTAAACATAAGGCTCTGATGTTGATAAAGAATCCCAGTTAAATTTTGGGTGGGACGTAATTTTTAATTTTTAAACACATTTTTAGTTATTTTGCAAGAGAGCGAGAAAGCGTGCACAAGTAGAGGAGGGGCAGAGAGAGAGAGAGAGAGAGAGAGAGAGAGAGAGAGAGAGAATCCCAAGCAGGCTCTACCATGAGCCCAGAGTCCGACTCAGGGCTCCATCTCACCATCCGTGAGATCATGATCTGAGCCGGAATCAAGAGTCGGATGCTTAACTCACTGAGCCACCCAAGTGCTCCACCTTTTTAAAATTGTTTATTTATTTATGGATGAAAAGTGACCTTTTACTTATTTTTCTCAGCTCTCTACTTTATTTCTCCTTCTCTCTGGTGATATTATTTGTCTTTTCAGTTGTAAGGAAACAATCAGATTCCACTCCAAGCCCTCATTCTAACACCCTTGCTCTGAAGCATCTTCCTCACTCACCATCTGATTGGATCAACTCACCGATGTTTTCTTTCTTTTTCTTTCTTTCTTTCTTTCTTTCTTTCTTTCTTTCTTTCTTTCTTTCTTTCTTTCTTTCTTTCTTTCTTTCTTCCTTCCTTCCTTCCTTCCTTCCTTCCTTCCTTCCTTCCTTCCTTCTTTCTTTCTTTCTTTCTTTTTTTGTGAAGTTTACAGTACAGGGTCAAGTTACCCGCCCGTGTTCTTCCCGGGCTGCTCCTACCCACGGACACGTCTGAGGTGTGGTGAGACAGTCAGAGACATAAAGACACATGTGGGAATAAATGTGTAAATGTATTTAGACTGTATTTGGGCAAACTGGGCTTTCACCACCCTCTAAATTCAACAGAGATGACTACGCAGACCAAACAGTGGTTAGCCGTTGACAACAAAAACCATTTGCAGCCCAAATTAGACACAACAAATCTGGGAAAGAATTTTTAGACCTCCAAACCTTGCAACCCACCCCTCACCCCAGACTACTTTAGGCATCAGAAGAGAAGGGAAGCGTGCACGCCGAGAGGAGGAGGAGGCGGAGCAGATTCCTTGGGCTGCAGCAGGTGAAAAACACATTTGCCAAGGCAGAGCTTGTTTGCGGATGGGGATGAAAAGGTGGGGCTGTTTGTAGGTCAAGGCCCTCGGTCCTGTGTCTCTCCTGGACGGCCACCAGGAAAAGCTGCCGGAGCTAAGCGGGGGCTGCGTTATCCTCATGCCAATGTGTCTGGTAACAAAGAAGGAAAACTCTGGGTTTCAGAGCGTGAGACTGGCCACCACTGAGGCTGCAAAAGCCAGGGGAGTGGCTGGGCTTGGAGAACCTGGGTGGGCCTGGGGAGGCGGTCCCCTGCTGGACCGCAGAGCCTCCACCGCCCCCAGGGGGCGCTGTCTCGCGGCTCCCAAGAAGCAATGGACGCCTATGGTGGCCCCATCTTCAGATGTTTTAAGAAGTGCTGTAAAAGCTCTTGATTTTCAAATACTGGCAACCGCTCCAGAGCTGTGTACAGGCTGAAGCAAACTAACCTGTCTGCTGGGTCCAGCTTTCCCGGGGCAGCTTCTGAAATTCGAGGTGGGGGCTGACTTTTATCTTACCTCCGACGCTGGGGTGTCAGGGGTGGGTTGAGAACCTGCGTGTATCCACGTTCCCGCCTCTGCCCGAATCTTCCTACCGCTAAATTAATCTAGCCTAAGAACTCCTTTGCGGCTTTGAGAAAAGCGAAGCTCAAAAATCAAAGTACCAACCCAGACAAAAACCTTCCAGGTAGAAGCCTCAAAGATTGAGCTTTTACTTTTATTTTTTAGGTATTTTGTCATGTCCCAGAATGGTTGGTCATGTTAAAATCACAGGTGTAATAATAGTCACTGATGCTCAGGAGACGCTCCCAGGACAGCACAGGCTTGGATGGGAAAGGACAAACGGAGGCAGACAAGTGACGTACCCAAGGCCACCCAGGAGGCTGAGAGTGCCTAGGCGAGGCCAGATTTATGCCCCCCCCCCCAACTTTCAGTTTGGGGCCTGTATTCCCAATCTGCCCCTGGAGTTTGGAACGTCCAGACAACGGCTCGGTGAGGCTCCCTGGGAAGCAAGGTTTGCAGAGAAAAGCATCATGCGTGGGAGGGAAGCTTGAAGTCAGAGGGCACCCCCTTGGTCCCCAGCAGCAGGCCATGGTGGCACCTCTAAGTCTGCACACTGACCAAGCAAGGACTGTCAGTGGGAGCCCGAATGCAGAAGAGGCCAGCATGTCTGGGAGTGAGGACCAGCATCAGAAAACACACACGGCACAGAAGTCTCAAATTCCAGGCAAGTGCTGTAGCCATTCCATCATCCAGGGCTTCTAAAGGTTGGCGCCCTCCTCTCCCCTGCACAGCGTGGCTTCACCATCACAGCATATCTGGGCAAAGGGAAGAAGAGGAAGGCAACAACAAACAAAAAAAAAATCCAAAAACAAAAAAACAAAAGGCAAGGTAGAGCTCCCAAGCCTGAGATTAAGCCCTAAGGGGCTGGCTGGTAATCACCATGGTGGGAGCAGATCTGTCCCCACACTCGCCTTGCTTTTCCTGCGGATACCAAAGTACCTCTCTCCCCCACAAGCACACGTGAACCTTTCACTTTGTTCCCTAGAGCTCAGACACCGGGGCTGCGTGGAAAGATCTGGGAGTTTGCAGAGCATTGTGGGTACTGACATGCAAATAAGAAGCGCAACCAAGCGTGTCCCACATTGCTTCAGAGGACCTGAATTTTTTATGGTTTGTATGTGCTTTTTGATGTTTTCATTGTCTCCAGCATAACTGATATGCATTTCGATTCTGACAAGTAGAAGTTTCTGGGTGTTGTTTTTTTTTTTTTTTCCTTTTCCTGGAGCTGGTCTTCTCTACCTCAAAACAAAACAAAACAAAAATAAGGGGGAAAAAAACAAAATAAGACACAAAAAAATCTGGCGTAACAAACTGAGGTTACTTGAAGTGAAATATTTTAAGCAATCCAACCACAGATGCAACCAGGAAAGGAAAACATGTTGATTCTCTTAAATTCCTTGGAGGAAAGCAGCTCCAACTTTCCCACCTCACTTAAAGGGGCAACTTCCAAAAGGCTGGGGGGTAGAGGGGGGCAGTGCTTTTCTTTTTTTTTCATGGTGGTCAGTGGTGTAGAAGCCGTTTCTATTATTGAAATACACCCCCCACCGCCATCTGCTGGCATTTGGTCTTAATGAAGTTGGGGAAGTTCATTTGGAAAAAGTGAGAGCCTCACTGGACCTCCCCCACTACGTACACACACAGACACACTTCAAGTGTGTGCTTTTAAGGGAACTATTTTCATTTTACAGCCATTTGCCCTTAAAGGATCCAGAACACCATCCACCCACGCCAAATACCTCAGATTCAGTGGTTTTTCTGGTTTGGCTCAAGGAAGGAATTGCTGGACAAATCACAAGAAAGTCATTGCTGAGAGAAGCCTGCTAATTCCCTGCCCCCCATCTCAGGTGACTAAGATTGTCAGGTAACGGGCTGAGTCTGAGAGGACCTGTCTGAACCTGGACGTGGGACCTTCCACGCATTCCAGTTTCGTTCCAACCTTAGCCACACGAAGAGAAAACAGGGCATATCCTGGGAACGTGAACGCGATGGCAATGTCTCTGAAATTCCTAACAAACCTTGCATCCTGCTTGCCGTTCTGCTCATCCAAGGACTCACAGCGCGTTGCTCCGGGCTCCATATGCCTCCTTCGTCCAAACTCAGCATCATTCTTTGCTTTCAGCACCGCGCTGTGGTTCTGTGGGCCTTGGACAGCTTCCCTACCCCCCCTGCCCAGTGCCCCCCCCTCCCCACCCTCCATCTCCTGGGGCTGAGACCCAGTTGCTCTTTCACTGGGTCTTTGGAACTTCCTCCCACATTCCTTACCTTCGCTGAAATTTCCCCACAGACTCCAAGTGCCTCCAGGCTCCCAGGCCAGAGCTTGGTGGCACCGTCAGGCTCAGAACTGCTCCTCTGACAGCTTCTGTCGCCGTCCTCAGCAAACAGCCCCCTTCCTGGCTCCCAGTCAGTGTCGGAAGGATTTCTGAATGAAAGGAGGCAGCCCTCCATTGTTTAGCAAATGGCTTCGGACACTTGGCATCTAATTTCCACTCAAGGCCTAAGAGGTAGGGATTCTCATTTTCATTTCACAGGTGATAAATTTGAGGCCCAGAGAGGGTACACGACTTGCTCAAAGTCCCCAATTGCTAAGTGTCCAAAGTTCGGGGAGATCTCCCAGTGACACACCCTTTCCCCAGAAGAAACACCTTTGAGTCCTCCATTTTCAAACCACTCCCACAAATGACATTTCTGGGACCTCCGCAATGACCCCCGTCGGGCAGGTATTAATAATAACCCTGTGTTACAAATGCAGGGCCGAGTACCATAAATCCCTGTATTTCTACTGCTGGTCTGTTCTCTTTTTTTCCAGAACCTTCTTTGAAAGACCACAACAACTGCAGTGATTAAGAAGGAGTCTGAGTCTCCCATAGCATAAGCTCCTGGGAGGGGGAGGAAGGTCAAGTGAGGAATTTGAAGAAGCCGTGTTAACCTTTTCAATTACAAACCGCCTGTAGGGACTTGATTCACGAAACCATGCTGAAGACCACAAGCATTTATGATCCTTCTAAATATACCCGGTGAGGCTCCGGAAGTATTTCAGGTAGTCAGAACCCAGCTCTTAAGACACATAAATACATTTAAAATAGGAGTAACTGTTTCCACCTTTCTTTTTTTTTTTTTAAAATGAGTCAATGTACTCCAAATAGAAATGTTGGCGGCCACCCTTTCATACCACTATTTATATTTAACTTATCAGCATATAAATGGAAGCTCGGTAGGTTCACCTAACAGGTCTTGGGTTATTTGCTTTCAACTTCAGAGCCAGACAGTCCTGAGTTCCTAGTGACAATAAAAATAAAGAGAGACATCGTAAGCGTTCTCACCTCATCTGCGGCTTTCAGCTATCGAAGCCTTCAGTATATCCAGTTTTCTCCCACCGGAGCATTTGAGAGGTTTCCCGTGGGGAAAGGAGGGAGATGTCAAATGGGCTCAGCTTTTCAGAGAATGAAAAGGAAGGGGACTTCTGGAGAGATGCTTTGTCCCGGTGGCTACAGTAGGGCTCTAGGAAAACGCAACCGGAGCAAATCAGGGCGAACGCAAAAAGAAACCATATTCCTAACTTCAAATAAGAGCTGTCCGAACTCCCCGCGCCCAGCCCCTCCCCAGCACCCTCACATTGTTTGGATTTCAGGCTCTTGAAGAAAATGTATTTCTTTTGACATTTAATAATGTCTGTTGACATGCAACATCCCTGCTAGGGCTTTTCTTTCCTTTTCTTTCTTTCTTTCTTTCTTTTTTTTTTTTTTTTTTATTAAATGATGTAAGTTCTGTAACTGATACCGGTTGTCATCAAACATCATAAAGCCAATCATGCCTCAAGTCATCAATATTTATTGTCCCCGGTGGGGGAGAGGCTGTTTTCAGTTTGGGGCAGATGGGTTTCATTTTTAAGTGGGATAGTTAAAGCAGACGCACCTAGGAGCAAATGTCAGGCCGGCAAGATTCTGCCGACAGGGTACAATTGAGATGTTCGCGCAGCTGGAGGGAAGGGGATGGGGGAGAGAAGGAGCTGCAAGGAGGAGAGGAGGCACAGACCGCAGAGGGGGAAGGAAAGGAAATGGGAAAAGAGGAAGAGAAAAAAGAGTGTATGCTCCTGGAGGTGTAGCGCTGACAATAACAGAAACCTCCTCTAAAGGATGTCCAGAAACACTTGGGGGAAGCGAGGGGAGGGCAGGCTGAGCGGGGCAGAGAAAGGTCAGGTGGAGAAAGTGAAAGTGAAGTGCAAGAGAAGAAGAAACTGGGAAAGAGAACCTGAAAGAGAAAGTAAAAGGAAACAAGTGAGACAAGATGTGAGAGAAAGTGAAAGCTGAACCACGAGAAAGGAAAAGAAAAAAAATGATAGTAAAGTAGAAAGTGAAAAGGGAAGAGGAAAGGGATGGGGAGAGCAGTGGAGAGAGACAGTAAGGGAGGGAGGGAGTGGAGAGGCAGGGGCAGAAAGTCCAGCCTGGTGACAGGCCCCGGTGGGTAGGGGTGGGGACGTCTCTGGGCAGGCCAGTCCCCATCAGGGTCAGTCAGGAGAGGGTGGGGTTTTGTCTTTGGCACCCTCACCCACCTTACCTGTGCCCCCTCCCCCTCTTAGAAGTTCTCCTATTGCACACAGGCTTCTGGAAGGTTCTAGAATTTTCTCACACTCAACCCTCAGGAAAGGCTCTGAGTATTTTATTCACACTGAGGCATAAATGACTAATAAATCTCAGTGAGATACTTCTGGCCGGGCTCAAGTTTTCCTTGTTCAGTTTTCGTTCCAATGGCAAATTCTGAGACATTTGTCAGCCAGGCAGGGAAATTTTTAGGGGATGTGAAGAGTCTCATCCCATAATCAAGTCTATCCTGCTTCCTGACTGTTCTCTGAGGCATACAGTTTGCAGACCCAAAGTCCCTTTTTGGAGTAATAGATGGGGAACGTGTGACAGATCCTTGGGCCCCTGGGATAAACCTTGGGTCCAGAGGCTTCTGCTTGGGACCCCTCCTGGGCTGCTGAACAGAAGGACCAGAAAGTGGGCATCTGGGGGACAGGGGATGAGAAGCCCTGTCCTTTGTCCTTGGGGCTCACTGGAACCCTTGCAGAGCCCAGGGCCTGGGAGGGAGGAAGGGCCAGGAATGGACCGTCTACAGTGTCCTTAAACATCCAAATTCTGCCCACGCCGGCTTTGGTGCTGACGTCAAAGTCAGAGGGAAGAAAGGAAGAAGGAAGGAAAAACCTTAATAAAGAGAATTTCCAAAAAAACTCCTGGAGAAAAATAAATAGGTCAGACCTCAAAGCAGCCCAGCAAAACACTCCTTAATGGTCCAGCCCTCCACTTGCGTTTTTGAAATTACAGGCCTGCGTATTTACGTAACCTGGCCTGAGAGGTAAAAGCACGGATGAGGGTTCTGAGGCACAGAGGGCCCCTGCGCAGGGTCTCAGAGCATGTCAGGGGCGTTAGAGGCGCCAGGCCTGAGGGTCTCATCCACATCCGCCACCTTCTTTCCCTCCTTGTAAGAATGAGAGACGAGGGGCTGGTGTTAGTGCTCCAAGCCCCCATGACGGGCCTCTACTTCCCCCACCTTGTCTTGTGCTTTCCGAAGTGGAAAGAAATTGCATTCTGTAGCCCTCCCGCCCCACTTCCTGAATTTTCCAGTCCGATCTGGACAGGTTCCAGGACTGAATGCCACCGGTCTCTCCTGTTGGCCCGCATTCGGGCAGCCCTGGAGCTCATTTACAGCCCCACCTTGAGTCACCTGAAATGGCTCCAGGCCATTCCGGCCCAGGCACCCAGCTAGCAACCCAGAGCTCACTGAGGACACTGGGTGCCTGTATTTCTGGAGAACCATGCTCTGTGCTGACTGCCGGCACCAAAGCTGGACAGGTCATCTCCCCACATCCTCACTAGCATTTTGTCTTTTCTTTCGGACTCTTCAAGTTTTTGCCAGTCAGTATCTCATTGCTTGTTTTATTTTATTTCCAATTTTTTAATGTTTATTTCTTTTTGAGAGAGACAGATCGTGAGCAGGGAAGGGGCAGAGAGAGAGGGAGACACAGAATCCAAAGCAGACTCCAGGCTCTGAGCTGTCAGGACAGAGCCTGATGTGGGGCTTGAACCCACCAGCCGAGAGATCATGACCTGAGCCGAAGGCGGGCACTCAGCCAACAGAGCCACTCAGGGGCCTCTCATTGCTAATTTAAATGACATATTTCTAATTACCGATGAGGTAAAACAGTTCTCCATAAATGTACTAGCCAGTTAGCTCCCTCTTCTAGGAATGGTGCACATCTTTCCATCAGATTTCCCGTGTTTCTCTCATTCACTTGCGGTATCTTGCATTCTAGGGTCTATGCCTCTTTCAGTTTCAGACAATGTTCATTATCTCCTCCCCATCGGCCTCCATCAGGTAAGTGTGGTTTCAGTGGCCATGTTTGAACAGATCTTTTTCATTTTGATGTAGTCAAGTTCACCAATCTTTGCCATATGGTTTACATTTTTGGTGTCTAATTAAAGAAATCTTTACCACCCTAATGTCAAAAAGATATTCTTTTACATATTCTTCTATTGAAGACGTAGCATTTTTCCTTCAAATTTAGGCCTTTTTTGAGTTTATTTTTGAATGTGGTTTGAATTAGAGCCACGAGTTTTTTCATCCAGTGAGCCAGTTCCCCAACAAAATATACTAAATAATTCATTTTTTTCCTCCACTGAATCCTAGTGCCCCCTTTTAAAAATGATATATCATGGGTCTCTTTCTAAATGTTTTTTCTTAATTCTATTTGTCTATTTCTGGACTAGAACCCCACTTTTTTATTACCATGCCATTGTAGAATGTCTTGTTTTTATGCTTTTTTTAAGTGTCAAATTAAAGTAAGTTTTACTCCGGCTGCTTTAGTCTTACTCTGATGAAGTAACTCTTTTTTAAAAATTTTTAACATTTTTATTCATTTTTTGAGAGACAGAGACAGACTGTGAGCAGGGGAGGGGCACAGAGAGAGGGAGACACAGAATCCGAAGCAGACTCCAGGCTCTGAGCTGTCAGCACAGAGCCCGACGCGGGGCTCGAACCCATGAACTGTGAGATCATGACCTGAGCCGAAGTTGGCCGTTCAACTGACTGAGCCACCCAGGCGCCCCACTACATTGTGACTGTTTCAATGGCTCTGCCAAAAATCCCAAATGTTCAAGAAGGATTATTCTTTAGGTGGTCAGAATTCAAATGCCTCTCAGCCTTGCATGAACCCTGAAAATTGTTTACCTCACAATAGAAACTTACAGGAAAATTCTTTTCCTGGCCTCATGGAGTTTCACTTGACGTGTGCAAGTTTGAGCGTGGAAACTTGTGGAGTTCTTTCTGCATCTAAACTTCTTCCCCTCTGGTTCTCTGCCCACAGGGTCCAGTCTCCTCAGCCTCTCCAAAGCCTCTGTTTCCTTTCTTCTCAACTCAGTGAGGCAGCTATGAACTGCTTGAGACTCTCCTGTATGTGGTGTATTCTAGAATGTTCCTCCAGGAAGAAGGGCAGGGATCATGGGGCTTACCTCATTTGTTTGCTTTTTCTCAGAGACCACAGTTCTGTGCTGCCTGCTGCCTTTTGTTCAATGCCTGAAAGCAGCTTCGCGTATTTTATCCTGTTTTCTAGTTGTTTATGGTAGGATGGTAAGTCCTATCCCAGTAACTTCAACAGGACCATTAGGTGGAAGTCAGAGATGACTTTTTTCATTGACATACATAAATTACTCTTGCATCTGGTAGTCTTGTGAACACCTCTGAGCCTTAAGAGTTTTTCCATTGATCATTACCATTTAAAAATTTTTTGTTTAATGTTTATTTATTTTTGAGAGAGAGACAGCATGAGCAGGGGAAGAGAGAGGGAACAGGCAAAGAGAGAGGAAGACACAGAGTCCAAAGCAGGCTCCAGGCTCTGAGCTGTCAGCACGGAGCCCGACGCGGGGCTTGAACCCACAAACCATGAGACCATGACCTGAGCCGAAGTTGGACACTTAACCGACCGAGTCACCCAGGCGCCTCTGATCATTACCATTTGTAAAGAAAGGCAGTTTTTCTTTTAATTGTTATAATTTCCATGTTTTGTTTCTCTTCTATTGTTGTATTGAACAGAAATCTTATACTTTAGTGTGTGGGTGTGTATATATATAGTACATAAATTTATTATATATATTAAATATTTTTTAAAAGGAACCTTACCTTTTTTTCTGAGTTAAAAATTAAAACGAGATGTTGAACTTTATTAAGATCATATCCTGGATATATTGAGATAACCATGTAATTTTTCTTTTTAGTACAATCTGGTGAACAACATTGCTAAGATTTCTGAAGTGAAACTATCTTTACACTCTGAAATACAGCTTACTTTGCTATTATTTAACTTAGCTACAGTGTTGAATTTGGTTGGCTAATCTTTCCGGAGCTAGTATATTTTTACTGTTTTATCTAAGTGTTCCGTGGAGGCATATCCCTCCCACAAAATATGTTTGACAACTTTCTCTCCTTCTGATTTCTGAAACAATTTGTATAAAGTAGGGATTGTCTCTTAATTTGACAATTTAATAGAACTTACTTCCAAAATATTTTTATACTGGAGCTTAACATGACTTTATTAGTTATTTCTATTCTTTTTACCAGTTATTACTCTATTAGTTATTTCTATTCTATACTTCTATTTTTCTTACCCCAATATTTTGGTTTTCATATTTTTCTGATAATTTTTTCATTTTGCTTAAGTCTTCTGATTTTTGGTACACAGTTGTTCATAATATTTTTTATGACTCTCTGCTGCATCTGTGTAAGTATTTATCTGCTTTCATCATGTATCCACTTATTTATATCTTCACTCCCTTTTTCAAAAGTAGATTTTTCATGAGAGATCCTTATGGTGAAGGATCTGATCAGTGTCTCGACCAGGGTAGTGGACACACAAATCTAAACGTGACAAAATTGCAGAGAACTAAGTACACACACATGCACACACACACACAAATGACAGTAAAACTGAGAAATTTTAAATAAAGTCAGTATATTTTATTCATGTCAAGATCCTGGTTGTGCTTTGTGCTATGGTTTTGCAAAATGTTACCTTTAGGAGAAACTGAGGAAAGGGGAAATGAGACTCTACATTATTTGCTTTGATTGCATGTAAATCCACAATTCTCTCAACCAAAATTTCAGTGAAAGAAATCAGTTTTGCGAGATGTTTGTCCCTCCTTGTTAATGTTTTCAAAATGCCAGCTTTTGGTCTTGTTAGCTTATCTGTTTTTTTTTTTTTTTTCCTGTCCTCTCTTTCATTCATTTCTTTTGTATTTATTTTTTCTTCCCAACATGCTTTTCTGAGATTTCTTTTTTGCTACTTAAAAAGTGTAAAAGCTTAAATATCAAAGCTTAGATGATTTGTTTTCAGGGCTTTATTTTTCCTTTTTGACAAATGTATTTAATGCCATATGTTCCCTCTTTTATCCATTGCACAAATTTGACATATAGTGTTTTCATTTGCTTTTAGCTTTAAGTATTTTAGAACTTCCTTTCTGATTTTCTCTCTGACTCAAGAGTAATTAAATAGCCCATTTTTTTAGTTACCTAACAGATGTAATATTTTTAAACTAATAATTAGATACTGGTTTTTTATTTTCCAAACACAATGAGAAAACATTGTCTGGTTTCTTTCCTTGGAATTTATTGAGGCTTCTTTTGTAGCTAAATCTGTAACAGTTTTGTTTAGGTTCTGTGTGTGCTCAAAACATGATGTATTGTCTGTGTTAAATGCTTTGTTCTATAAACACCGAATTTGAGTTAGTAATTATGTATATTTCGATTGCTTGGTTTTTATTCATGTGTTTGTTTTTTACTTTCGATCAGTCTGGAATCTCTGTTTATTTTTTATCAGTGAATTTCACCTATTTACAATTACTAGTATATGAGGACTCATTTCTGTCACCTTATTCGTGTACTTCCATTTATCTCACTGGCTTAGGTCAAGTTCTCTAGAAGCAGAGCCTGAGACAGGAATTCTTATCCAAGGGACGTATCAGAGGAGGGGCCTCAGGAGAGGGAGGATCCAGATGCAGAACGGGGTGGGGAAAACTGAGTTAGACCGCATTTCCAGCTGGAGATGCACTTCCACCGGGGAGGCTGGAGCTCACCCTGAGGCTTCCCTGTCTCCCCCAACCCCCAGCCACTGGCCAGCACTGCTGTGCCTCCCACGGGAGTAACACCATCAGTGGTCTGCCCTGGGCAACGTGAGACAGAGAAAAGAGCAAATATTAAAAGCACTCCCACACCCTGGGAACCAACCCTCTTTCACTTGGGGTGCTCCCACTCCCCAGCCTGGAGACCCATCATCTTCCGCCTCCTTCGGAGTTTTCAACTCGCGCACTCTCACTTTGCGTTTTCCACCCACCTTGCTCTGGGCCTGCGTGGCATCTGCAGAGCTGGGGACAGGGCAGGGGGCGGTGGCCTCTGCCAGCTGGCCATCTCGTCCTACCCTTATTTATTTATTTATTTATTTATTTATTTATTTATTTTTATTTATTTATTTGAGAGTGAGAGAACGAGTTGGGAAGAGGAGCAGAGGGAGAGAGGCAGACAGAAACTTAAGCAGGCTCCACACTGAGCACAGAGCCTGTTACAGAGCTTGATCCCAGACCCTGGGATCATGACCTGAGCAGAAATCAAGAGTTGGGAGGTCAGGGACGCCAGGGTGGCTCAGTCTGCAAGGTGTTCGACTCTTGATGCCAGGCGGGGCTCTGTGCTGACAACATGGAGCCTGCTTGCAATCTCTCTCTCTCTCTGCCCTTGCCTCATTCTTTCTCTTTAAATAAATAAATAAACTTAAAAAAAAAAGATTAGATAAAGAGTCAGAAGCTCAACCGACTGAGCCACCCAGGCACCTCTCAGCCCACCCATTCCATTTCTCCTCATCGTCTAGTGCTGTGGACCCTCCTCCGAGGACTCTGGCCCAGCTCTGCTGGGTGGGTGGAAAGTTAACCTGGGTGACTGCCTATGCTCGGAGGACCAACCCCCCGTCCTGTCCAACACTATCCATTCTCCCTTCCCCTAGGATGAGGGCTGTCCCAGGAGGCTTCCCCACCTCCCATGTAAGTAGATTCTTGCTGGGTGGGCCCCCAGTCCTTCAGACTGGACCTCACATGCCTGCGTCTTCGGGGGATGGGAGTTCAGACTTGAGCCACAATCCTCCCCCACCTCTACTGTATTATGCATACTCTAAGCTGCCCAAAATTGTTCAAGGTGGCTCATAATAAAAAAGGAACATGTAAAGTTAGAAACAAAACAATATACAAATAAAGTTCAAGAGACGCCAAGTCACATGCACGTGCATGGAGAGGTAAAAGAATTCTTTCAGGAAAACACTGCTGGATTTCAGTCCCAACTTCTTTTCTTTTCTTTTCTTTTCTTTTCTTTTCTTTTCTTTTCTTTTCTTTTCTTTTCTTTTCTTTTCTTTGAGAGAGAGACAGCATGAGCAGGGGAGAGTCAGAGAGAGAGGGAGACACAGAATCTGAAACAGGCTCCAGGCTCTGAGTTGGCCGTCAGCACAGAGCCCAACGCGGGGCTCGACCCGATGAACTGTGATATCATGACCTGAGCCGAAGTCGGATGCTTAACCAACTGAGCCATCCGGGCACCCCAGTCCCAACTTTTCCTGGCAGCTAAGGTAAACCGGGAGGCACCAGGCCACCTTCAACTGGGGATTATCACTGAATGCGTTCGTTTGGAAAATCGGCAGCAAACACTTCTAATTTGAAAGATGTATATATTTTGGGGAGAGAGAGAGCACAAGCTACAAAGGGGCAGAGAGAGAGGGACAGAGAGGATCTGAAGCAGGCTCTGCACTGACAGCAGCGAGCCCAGTGCGGGGCTCATACCCATGAACCATGAGATCATGACCTGAGCTGAAGTCAGACGCTCAACCGACTGATCCACTCAGGTGCCTCAGACATTTCTAATTTTTAAATTCCTCTTCATCAAAGGCCTGTCCATCTATAAATAGTTTTTCCTTCAAACTCACTTGACAAGGAAAAGAATATTCCCTGACGTTCTCTTTGCATCTGCTTTCGGCTCAATGACTGCTCCATGATGATCCGTGAGGGTCTATGATGCTGGAAGGGGGCCAAGAGCTATGAGAGAAGGAGGTAGTCACCCCAGAGGAGCATGTTGTGGGTGCACCTGGAGACTGGGCTCTGTGTCCTCAGCTTCCTGTCCCCGCTCGGCCTCGGAAAAGCTAAGTGACCCTACTAAAGATACTTAACGCCGTATGACCCTACACCTATTTTCCAACCTCTAGGCATCAGTTTCCTCATTTGGAAAATCTGAATAAGACTAGCGCCACCCCCTCCTCGCTGTGCTGTGACAGTGAAATTAGATGATGACCACACAACACACGGCCAGGGATAAAGGAGGGTAAGGTGAGTTACGTGACATCACGGTGGGAGCCAGGATTGACTGACGCGCACTAGTGCCAGACCAGGTGCCGAGGACTTTCTACTCAGTTCTGCACTGAGCTCTCCAGGAGCCCTGGGAGTAGGTGTGCATTTTAATAATGAGGAAACTGCCCACGGGTAGATGCGGGAGCTGGAGCCCAGAGGGAGGGGATGACTTGCTGAAGGACTTTCTTTTTTTGTTGTTGTTGTTAATTTTTTTAACGTTTATTTTTGAGACAGAGAGAGACAGAGTGCAAGTGGGGGAGAGGCAGAGAGAGAGGGAGACCAGAATCTGCAGCAGGCTCCAGGCTCTGAGCTGTTAGCACAGAGCCCTATGTGGGGCTTGAACC